TGTATTGAAAGGGGAAGATGGCCTGTGTGCCTGCAAGCACGGCCCCCACATGCTTTCTCTATTAGAGCCAAGCACAGAAACTTATCAAAAACATATGTTCGGTGTTAATCATCTGGACTCGGGCTCCACTTGGGAGTCTAACTAGCTGTCCCTTGGCAGAAGGAATCTGTTGACCTTCTCAGCTTGCTTGAAGAGGGTGCAGAGCAGCATTTCAAACTTTCGGATGCTAGTAGGGAGGCAACGTCTAACTGCACCTGAGGATTGACTAATTAAAGGAAGATCCCTACACTTGAAGGCTGCAGGCTGCAGCACTGACAAGTTGTTGCTTTGGATGTTGGTGAGCTACGCAGAGGGAGCAGTGCTGCAGGAGCCTCCCCTATCAGTGGGCAATAGTACTGATCAATTAACTTGAGGAATTCAGTCCTGTTCAACCTTCCTCAGAAGGAGCCAGTATGAGAACCAGGACTGAATGACTTACCCAACTGCATCTAAAAAAAACACTTTGAGATTGATCACAGATCAGAGAAACCGTATCAGATGGGTTCTTACAAATTGTATGTTATTTAGCTTCTAGAGGGTTGGTAGAAGATTTGATGGATTTTAAAAAATGTTCCTAATAGCGACGAATTCAATTCCTGAATTCTCATTACATGTAATTCAAATTCTGCCAGTAGCCTCTTTTGTTTTATATATTCTGAAATAATCAGTCCTAAGACATAAAAGCCTTCACTTTTTTTTTATTATATTTTCTCAAATAAACTTCCCCAAAGGAAGATATTTTAAGAGCATTTTCAAACATCTTTGGCATCACATAAAAAAGAAATCTCGTGTAAAAAACGAAATGTTATCTGAACTTTTATAATACAAAGGCGCAATCCAATATGAACATATAAAATATATACAAATATAGTGCATGGTCAGTCACTTAATACAGCTCTCTACAAAAAAGTAACTTTTTAGAAATTAAAAAATCAAAGAAACCACTTAATCCCAAAAGTCCTCTTCTCTCCCAGCGTTCAAGTTCCTGTGTAGTGTCCCCAGGGAAGAGGTGGGTTAGGGAGTTTAGGAGGACAGATGGCTTGAGCCCCTCAGTTCCGCCACGGTCTCCACATGGAGTCGGCAGTTAGCGAGGGGCCGCTGGAAGGTGACACTGCGTTGGGGCCCACGGAGGTCCCGCTGTTGCTGGTGTATACTGGGATGACGGGGCCACTGTGAGCAAAGGCCCCGTTGGGTATGAGGAAGGCAAACTGGCCGTCAGGAGCCGGCACCACCTGGAAACCGCCAAATACCTTAGCTGCCTCTCCAGCTGGGCTGCCCAGCTTGCAGGGCGCGCCGCCGGGAGGGGGCGCCGCGCCTCCGGGGATAGGCACCAAAGGAGGCGGCGGCGCGAACGGCGCGTGCTGCGGACCGCCGGGTCCTGGCGGGGGTGGCGGCGGCGCCTGCAAGGCTGGGTGCGGCTGCCCGGGGTAGGTCATGGCGTTGATCTGGGTCATGCAGTTGGCCAGGTGGCCGAGCAGCCGGGTGCGCACCTCGGTGTTAACGCCCTCGCACGTGGACAGGAAGCGGGTCACCTCGTTCATGCACTCGCTGAAGCCGGCGCGGTACTTCCCCAGCACGCTCGGGTCTGTGCTAAGCGCGGCTGCGGGCCAGAAGTAGACAGACGGGTCACCGAATGGTCCTGGCCCCGAGGCCACCGCCTCCACCCTGGGAGGTCCCCGTGGTGCGCCTCCCTGACCACCGGCCTGAGGAACTGCCTCCGGCCAGGAGGGTGGGTTTAGAAAAACCATACACCTCTACACACTAACCACCCATCTCACACGCTAGCCTGGCGACTGACGCTGGGACGGCACCCTCTCCATTTCCTGTCGTTGCATTTAAACCGATCTCAGCTTCAGATCCGTCTCCCGCTCCAACCCCGCGCGCGATGTGACCTTCTGTAATGCTCTTCCTCCCTCCCCCGCCATCCGAGCCTTACTTCCCATTCTGTAATGGGGGAGGAGACTGTACTAAACCAGATGACCCCCAGGCTCCACGCAGTTCAAAACCACTACGGTTCTCAGTCCTTTCGCCCCCACTCACTTCCCCCGCTGCCAAGCCGTCCGCCGCCCTAGCCACTACAACCTCTCTTCTTCCCTTTCCGGAACAGTAACAACTTGGAGTTATGGCTATAAATAAGCCCCAGACCGTGGGAACGCAAGAGTGAGCCAAGGCAGTAAAATGTATTTGAATGCCTCTCACAACCACGGGCGGAAGTCTGGAAGAAATCACCGCGGGGAGAGAGGAACGCCCGCAGAGGGGGACGCAGCAAGCAGCCCTCACCCGTCATCTGCGCCCTTTGCAGGTTCCGGAGGTGCTTCACTGTCATTTCCAGAATGTCTGCCTTCTCCAGCTTGGAATGCCGCGAGCTCTGCACAGAAGAGGCAAGGGAGGAAAGTGAGAGGACCGCCAGGGGTCTCGGAGTTCCTTTCCCCGGCAGCGGCGCCGACACCCCCGCCTCAGAGAATGCAGCGTCGGCGGGAAAGACCTCGCCAGAGAGGGGGTTTCATTTTTAGTACCCGAGAATTAGTATTTCATTTTTGGCTTAAAAAAAAAATCACTGCCCACTTACATCTTTCTTTAGAGCATCCAAAATCAGTGTTTTCAGCTGGCTCAGACTTTCATTTATTCTTGCTCTTCGTCTTTTCTCCATGATAGGCTTTGAAGACTGTAAAGAAATAAAAAAGACCCCTGAGTTCCCATCTCACCCCAGGTTTTAAGGGAGAAAGGAACCCACCAACCTCGGCTTAATTTCTTAAGGCTGCAGAGATACAGGTACTGCCCTTACCTTTCTGTGCTCAGATGCTGTCTTTGGTTTGTCCGGTGTCGTGTTGACACTGGCTGGGGTAGCAGCCACCGGGGACGAGGAATTTTTCTCCATTATATCAGCTGGCATTTTGGATTTTTTGTTTTTTAATCCCTAGAGAATTTTATTTTTGGAGTCCTTCACACAGAAAAATTATTTTGTTTATGTCCCTTTACTTTGAGACGTTCATAAACTACTGAGCAAGTGCTGAGGGTTTATTATTGTATCTTATGGCTACTTGGCTATCGGTAGCGCTATTCCAGGACCAAGGAGAGTGGTAGACGGGGAATTCCACTGTTATCAGCACCAGCTCCGGATCCTCTGTGATCCCCAGGCCCTGGCGGCCTCTATATATATCTGGGACTGCACGCGAACGGCTCGTGTGAAACTTCCCAAACTTTCTTTCCCACAGTAACTTTCAGCCAATGGGAGGAGGAGACACGCGGCACCGCTCGTGGACCGCGCCCCCCCATTGGCCGCCAGGCACAAGGCCTGGCGGCCAATGGCGCGCGCCTGAGCCCGGGGCACTGGAGGCTACAACGTCAATCAAAAGGATTTTAACCCTTCGCTACTCTCGCTGCTGGGCTTTGCTTTAGAGAGGACTTCTCCGCATTGGATTTACTCTAGTTTATGTCTTTTGGGATACGATCTTTGCTCTATTTCCTTTCCTATGTGCAACAGAGGTGCTTTGACACTAGTAAGTTCATTCGAAATATATATTTTAAAAGGTTTAGAAAGACGGATAAAATATTATACTTACAGTGGTAAAAAGAAATGAGGGGAACGTGAGCAAGGGTATGAGTTACTGTAATATTTAAGTGATTTCCCGTTCAGACTCTCTATATTGCGGGGGGTGGGGTGAGGGTGGGGTGTGTGTGTGTGTGAAAGTCGACCGTGCAGATAAAGAACAAAAAAATTCCCTTTCTGCATGCAGAAAAAAGAAAAAAAGGCCTCTACCTTACTTTTGCAGGTTTTTCAGAACAAGATGGTTTTTTATCTCTGTCCTCCCATCCCGTACCCCCTTCCTTTTCTGGAGTTGGGGCCTTGGACCTCGTGCTTCCCCAGGAAACAATCAGAATAATTTCCAACTGGGCAGAAAGGAAATGGAATTTCAAATGAAAAATGAACAAGGGGGGCTTTGATAGCAAAGCTTCAGGGACGCGCGGGCGCCCTCGCCACTTTCCCTTTCCATCCACAGGTTCCTGGTGCAGGGGCACGTCGAGACGGTTGGCGGGGCGGCAGCCTCTCCCCTCCTCGCCTCGCGGGCGGCCGGCGCAGCCTCGGCACCCGGCGCGCACGGGCCCTTTAAGAGCTACACCAGCCGAGCGGCAGTTTGACATCAGCCGACCGGCGAGGGCGCGCCTGGAGCCGAAGCACGTGCCAGGATGTTTTATTGCCGCCGCGGCTGCGGCCGAGCCGAGAGGATGTGTGTGCGCGCGCCCTGGGGGCAGGGAGGCGTGGGGGGGCGGCGGCGGGCGGCGGAGCGCGGGGGCTGGTTCCTGGTCCCCGGGAGAAGCCAAGAAGGTAAATAGCAGCTGCTGTGCTCGAGCCTGGGAAAACCCCGCCCCCTGCGCCTGGCCTGGGCTCATTGGCGCGCGCTGCGTGTGGGGTGTGTGTGTGTCCGGGGGCCCCCTCCTCCGGCCCCCGCCGGGCCAGGAATCCGAGGGGGTGGCGGGCTGGGAGCCGAGCTCCGGCGCTTACCACCACACCCCCCGCCTTCCCCCGGCCAAGGTTAGCCCTTCCGGGCGGCGAGCACACACCCTGGGGTGGAGAGCAGGGAATGATTCCAACCCCCCACTCCACCCCTGATTCGGGCCTGGGGTTTTAACTCGGCCGAAAACCTCACCAGCGGAGGCCGGAGAAGGGCGGGGGCATTCTGTGCTCCTTGCCCCAGCCCTCTCTCCCTCCCTTCCCCCGCGGGGCCCCCGGCGCCCGCCGCGGTCACGAGATGCCTGACCGCACTTAGGAAGCGGCCGGGTCAGCCTCCTGCCTCCGCTCGGAGGCTGCGGTTAAAGCGGCTTCGCGCCGCCCGCCCCCTCCCCAGGTCCTGGGAGGCCGGGCAGCTCCCCCTCGCTGCGCCCGGGAGGCCGCCGGCGGGCGGCCGGGAGGAGGCGGGCGGCGCGGGCGGCTGCGTGCTGCCGGCTGGCCGGGCCGCGCGCCGGGAGGAGCTGCCGCAGCCGCCGCCGGGTGCCACGTGGCGGGCGCCGGGCCGGGAGCGCCGGGGCTCTGGCGGCGGCCTCCCTGGGGGATTTGACGCGCGGGGCGGGCGACGAGCCCTTTCCCCGCCGGTCGGCCGCCACCTCCGCTTTGCTCCCGCCTGCCTGCCGAGTCGTTCGCCCCCGCGACCCCACCCGCTTTGCCCTTCCCGCCGTCCTGGAGCTTGGCGCGCTGCTCCGGGGGCTGGGAGCAGCCCTGGAGACGGAGTCTTGTGTGATGTCGCGCCCCCAATTCCCCCGCCCTCCCAGCCTTCTTTAGGTTTGGAGGCTGCCGGAGGCCTGGCACACATTTCTCAGACACTTCATTCCTTCCTTCCTCCGAGCTCCCCACTGAGATAATGTTGTAAATGGTTTCACCAGATCTGTTCCCTGATGAGATTCAGAGGTTCCTGACTCTGGATGACCTTGGGCAAGCCCCTCTCTCTTTCATTTTGGAACACAAACTCTGTGCCAGACACCGTGTTAAACCCTGGGATTAGATAGAGAGATACAGTGCAGTCTGCAAGGAGTTCACAGTCAACTCTGGAGGCAGACAGACTTGGTTTTCTGATTTGATGACCGGGTATTCCTCTATTCTTTCTTTCTCTGAGGGCTTAGATGATGGCTCAAGAGATGAGGGGAACCTAAAGGAAACACTGAACCTCACCTGCATGGCCAGCACTATTGCTGGTCCCCCAATACGAGGATGAATGAACTAAGTGCCCTCAGGAGGCCTACAGCCTAGAGGTTATACTCATGACTGCAGCTGGCGCATACCTACTTCCCAGTATATTCTTCTGGTAGGTCCTAAATCCAAAAGAGACAGTTACTGTCTAGAGATAAATGCTATGGAGGTTTAAGGTACTTAAATTACTCAGATTGGGATATCCTGGAAAACTTCCTGGAAGAATTGGCTTGTGCTTTGTATCCTGAAGAATAGGTTGCCCTGGGCCATTGGAAATGTGAGACATGGGGCAGGGGAGAATGGAAGTACCCATGGCATTAAAGGACTAGATTCTGGAACTTGTCCATATTCAGGGAACAGGATCTGGAGCCCAGGGCATGTGACACCCTGGAGTATAAGAAAGGACAGAAGAAGGAGGCTCAGGCCATGTCACAAGACCTGTAAATATCTTGCTAAAGGATTTTAGACTTACCTTTAGACAATGGAGGGCTGTGAAATGCTCTTGTGCAAAGAAAGAACATCAAGGTTCTCCTTTAGAATGATGGCCCTGACAAAAGTTGGAGAGTGGATTGCAAGGTTTAAAGGTAGAGACCCCACTTTGGGGGGCTCAAGCCAGTAAAGGAGGTTCCTAAGTGACAGGTGAGCACCAACACGTAGAAGCACCTGCCAAGAACCAGCTCATCTGGGCACCACACTGTCCAGTGATCCAAATTCACCAGAAACCTGCCTACCCTTTAATGCAATGTTCCCCCTTAGTTAGCTGGATTCTAACTAAAGAAATCATTGTGACTCTGACAGTATTTACCTTCCAAGCCTCATTTCCATCTTCCAGGACAGCCCTCAAGTCTGCAGCCAAACCTTTACCTCATTGCCAGCTTGGTTTACTCACTCTTGCCCCTTGGGCTACTCTCGGATTTTTTTTGTGTGTGTGTTTTCTTAACACAGTGCAGAGTAGGCTCTGCCCTATCATGTTCTGAAGAAATGATGAACAATGCCTGCTTTGTTGACCTGCAACCTGGGCCAATAGGGTAGGACTTTCTTATTTTAAACAGATGGAAAAGTGGTGATGACAGAAAATTATCTGTTGCTTTTGAAAAAAGTGGAGTTTTCCTGTGAGTTTGAAATCCTCTTGGTGAAAGGTGATGAACCTATAAAGTTACCCTCCTTTCTGCCATGCAAACTTTGCAAGCTTCTTAAAATGCTTCTGCTCAGCATCTGACTTTTAAAAAAACTACTTAAATACTCTGACCCAGATTCCTCCAAGGAACTAAACCCTTTCCAGGGAAGTACATTAACCCTTTCCAGGTCCCCCCACCCCTCCAAGTCTTGAGAATCAGTGACTTTTTCCACTGAGTTCTGCTATGACATTGACTGCTATCTGCTCTTGGGTCCTAATTGACTAGCCAGTGTGCCACCCACTGTGTCCCTTGTAGACTAAGAGCCTTTTTGTCTCTGATTCTGTTATCTCCTCTGGATTTGGCACCCTGAAGGTACATGGAGAATGTTGAATATAGTCAAGTGAGGGTCTCATGACAGTTCCTAATGCAGCCTCATTGGTCAAATAGTTAATCAGCAACTCATTTATTGCTACTTCAGGAGTGCTTAGACTGGTAGAATGAACAAATAACTTAAAACACACACACACACATTTTTAGAGAGAGAGAGCAAATTTGTCATGAATTGCTCATAGACTATTTTTCAGTATCCTTTTCCTGGGCAGTGAAAATAGCACCAAATTGACACTCTCTCTTACCCCTCCTCAAATGGGGATTGAAGGGCCTAAACTTGAAAAAAGACTTGAATTTGGAAGTCTCCTCTTAGAAACAGCCTTTCTTTTTCAGTCATCTTTCTACCCTCCTCCCAAAGCAAAGAGAAAATTGAACCTTGTTCATCAGTGGAGGTCACCTCTTTGATCCCACTGTGAGACCAGCACAACACAGGCATCTTTCCCACTGTACCATGCTCAGTAAGTACAACCAGGGGCTGCTATGTTGGTCTCCTTTCCCCTTTCTGCCCTGTGAAGGCTAATCTTCTCTGTCTTATTGCATCACCTGTTTGTTTTAAACCATAAAACAAATAACCGCATCTCTAGTGAGACTCCCTTTTGTCCTTAGGTATCGGAATGGTTTGTGGGTTTGGTTTAAAGCTACAGAAAGGAGAGAGAGCTAGAAGAAGAAAAAAGGTATTTTGCCTGAGGACTTGAAGCTTTTTTTTTTTCCTTTTCCTCTGCTTGACTGACTTTCTCACACTCAGATTCCCTGCAGCCTGCCAGAGACGTGGGAGCTGCCCTGCCAAGAGCTATCCTGGGAGGGCTATTGAAAGGGCCTTGAGTAAGTACACGCTGGGCGGGGTTCTCCTCCCCTCCGTACCTGCTCCGCACCTGTACAGGGAGCAGTCCCACACATATCACCTGATCACAGCCCTTTCAGAGACCGTGAGAAAAATAAAGTCCAGGATAGAAGAGATGTTTGTCGTCTCTCCAGGGTTGCAGCAGCCAGCTCCCGGCAGTCTGAGCGCCCAGAAACAGCACATTCCAGACCAGCTGTGCACGCGTGTTTGCCCACATGTAGCAGGTGGGGGCACCGGGAAGGGGACGGAAGCCAGAAATCACCTGCATGATGACTGCGTCCCGCCTCTGTTTCTGGCATCGGCCTGACTGGTAGTTTTATGAACTTTTACTAGAATCATTATTATGGTCCTCCTAGATAAGAGTCCATACTCGCTCATAACAGCAGAATTCATAACCAGAATTTCTTACCTTAAGATTGATGGGTGAACCCCCAGGGAGCCTATAAAGCCCCTGAAAAGGAATTCAGAATTATGTCTCTGCATGCATAGGAGAGTTTGTAGCTCTCAGCCAGAATCTCTATGCTTTTTGTGACCCTAAAAGATTGAGAAAACTGTTCTAGGCAATCTCCACTTACAAGTGGGTACCCTAAACTCCAGAGAGAGCAAGAGGCTGGCTCAAGGGCTGATAGCAATATGCAGCCAGAGTGGGGGCCTGAAGCCAGCTCAGAGCTCTTTCCCCCACACCACAGTGCTGTGGTTGTTGGTTAATTGTGGTGGGGTTTATAGAGTTGTGATTCCCACCAAAGCCTGGATTTAAAATAGACATATTAATAAAGATACTTTGAATTTCTAGAACTTTCTTTTTCTTTCTTAATTCTGAGGCACCTGAGCTGTTCTGCTCCTGGTGTTTGGCGAGAGAAAATGATAGGCAAGAAAGCCAGATGTTCCCCAGAGAAGAGGATTCAGGAATGCCTGGAGTCCGAGTCCTGGTTGGCATGCAGAGGCATTAGAAACAACTGCAACTCTGCATTCCATTTCTGATAAAAGTAAGTTGCTACTTCTGAACAAAACTGCCTCCTTGGTGTCTGGCCAGCCTGGGACCTTGAACAGCAAACAGGGTGGGGGCGGACAACAAGCTTTCAGCATTGCCTAATAGCAGGCCAGTAATGCTTTCTGCTGTCCTCACACATGTCCCCCTGGCCCCCACCTTGGATAATTTGACTAGAGCCAGTGAGACCAAGGGAATGTGAGCTTTTCTAATGGTCTCTGAAAGAGTGTGGTTGCCAAGAAAGAGCTTTCCCAGTGGGGTGGGGGCAGGGTACCCTAGAATGACTTCCGTGCTGCAGTTGGCCTGGCCACAGCAGTAGTGGTAGGAGGCTCTAGATGTGCCTTAGCTTAACATTTTGAAATATCTACAACAAATGACTAACATTAGCACCATAGATGGATTTTCTATTTGAGAACCTGAGCTATGTGCCGGTGAGTGATTTTTTTGTAGTGTGACAGCATATGCCGAGCACAGAGCAGGGCTAAATTCCAGTCACCCTCTGAGCAGGGCTGCAGTGAGGAAGGCTGTAAGCCCAGGGATAAAGGAGGGCATTCCTGAGGGAGAGCAGAGATGCCAGCTTGCACTTTTGTGGGCAGAAGGCTCGGAACTGCATTCTGGGGGTCTCTGGAAGGCTCAGCAAGGTAGGGGTGAACCCCTTTACACCCAGGACAAGCATTTGTTTGGCTTGTTGATAGCTGCTCAAATTGTAACATCAGATCAATTTCTCAAAAAACCATACACAAAAACAATATCTCAGGTAACCAAGAAAACCATCTGGGTAAAACTTAGGGCCTGCAAGTGACATGGGATGAGTGTATACAATATACTTTTAATTAAAATCATCATCATTATTATCCTTGCATCATCTCATAGCTTATAGAAAAGGGATGGGGAGAGGCAGGGAAAAGGACATAAGAAGTGGCTGAATTGGTCCATTCATTGACTGTATGGGACATCTGAGCCCAGGAGGATGTGATTTGCCCAAAGTGAAATAACCTCATCAGAGAGGAACTAGCAAAGCCAGAATTAGGCTCAGGTGTCCTGACCACCAGTCCAGAAACCCAACCCACTATATCTTTATACGAGAAGAACATTTTGAAATATCTACAACAAATGACTAACATTAGCACCATAGATGGATTTTCTGTTTGAGAACCTGAGCTATGTGCCGGTGAGTGATTTTTTTGTAGTGTGACAGCATATGCTGAGCACAGAGCAGGGCTAAATTCCAGATTTGCTGTACAATAATTCTCTCTTGGATTTACTTATAACCATATAATCTGTGGAGAAGAAAGGATCTTAATTTTGGAGTTCTAGGAGATAGGAAGCCACCTGCAGGAGCCATACAAAATGGGTAGCCTGCCACTCAGTCAACCATGTGTCATCCCCCCCACCCCTTTCTTTTTCTTATAATTGTCAACCTATTTACCTTATTTGTGCTCTAAAAGGAAGATTAGGGGGGAGAATATTTACACACCCTGAATCTGTGCTCTGTTAATACTGGGCTTTTATCAGGAGTAAAGAAGATGTGATACTAAGAATATAGTGATGGTATCGGAGCAAAGAGACATTGAGCTGCTGGCTGGCTTACATTTAGCAGAGGAGAGGTGGGAAAAATAATGGACTTTTAAAGAAGTTAATAGGTGGTATTTGCATATGAAATATATATTTTCCTTTTAGGAAAAGGGCTTAGGGAACAAGAGAAGATGATCCAGGCAGCTGCCACAACTGCAGCTTCAGTCTCTGGTGGGTTCTAGCATGGTTAGGACCTCTGGTCTCTTCCACAGAGTTGAAGGTACCTGTCCTCCTGCCTTGTAGTACTTGACAGTGACAGGGCACTTGCTAGTCCATTAGAGCATTTTGTCCTCATTTATAGCCTTGTGATTTAGACTAGGACTTTGGTGGGAGGTCCAGTGAGGAACAGAGAGGATTCAAGCAGCCAGTGCAGGAGACATTTGGCTGGCCCACAGGCTGCTGGAGGCACAGGATACAGGATAGACGAGCTTTCTGGAAAATAGGGCCTCTAGAAAGATAAGGCAGGGCAGAAAGACTAGAAGCCAGCAGAGACCCGGCTTATCTGAACCGTGGGCAAGAATAATATTTCCAGGAACTGGAACAGAAAGGAGAAGGCATATTTCTGTCAATTTGGTATGGAGTATCAGTAATCCATAGGTCACATCTTTGGTGGGGGAAAGCAAGGACGAAGGGTCCTTTCTTGTGGCAGGAAGCTAGACGGGAGGAAGAAGCGAGGGAAAAGAATCCCACTTAGTAAGAAGATGACTGAGCAGGTTCTGGAAAGGACACAGAAAGCTAATGACATGGTCTCCCCTGGGCTGAGGCTAGACTGCTCGGTTCAGCATCCAATGCCTTCTGAGAGGCTTCTTGGGAAGCACTCAAGAAGGGAGGACAGGTGTGGAACTGAGGGCCCTTGTGGAACTCTGGAACCTGCATCCCTTTCCCCACTAATTAATTTTGTTCTAAGCTGTTTGTATTGCTATAGGCATAACATTAAACTCCCATAGACTGAAAAAGTCTGTGGGCTTGTCTGGGGTGAGGGCAGGGAATGGGGGCCATGGGGAGACTGTATACTGCTCTGTGGCTAGTTTGAAGGTGGACATCCAAGAGAGGAGAGAGAAGGTTGGGTCAGAACAAAGGAGGCAAACGTATTGAAACCTCGCAGCATCAGGGAAAGGGCCAGAGTCCCCTCAGCCCAGCTGTGCATGAGACACTATGTAAGGTAGGGGAAAGGAGCCTCTCCTTTTGCAGGGCTGGACTTCCACAGGCCAGCCTTGACCAAAATCTGAGAGGAGCCAGGGAGGGAGAGTTCTGTTGTAACATGCTGGCATGTGACAGGCTTGCCTGACTGGTGGAGGTCTCTTGATAAAGTCCCAGAGCTTTGCTGGCTCCTGGGGGAGACTGCCAAGCTGTGCATGTATCATAAACATATCCAGCTGTGGCCTTTATCTAGTTGGGCTCCCACAGTCCCAGAGGGACCTGATATTCATGTTCAAGTATTTGATCTCCTTGTCCTGGGTGGCTAGTCAAACCTCTACACACTTCACCCCTGCCCTCAGAGTCCTGACCCCTGGGACACACTGAGACTTAGTGTCTAGATCATCTGGATGGAGGGCTGGGTCCCAGCTTCTGTTCATTGAAGCAGGCGAACCTTTGTTGATGGTAGCAGATGGACAGTGCAGTCCAGTTTTCAGTTGCCTATTTAACTTAATTCAGGTCAGTGACTATTTTTGAGCACCTACAATGTATGAGGCAGAACTACATACCTCTGTTGATGGTTACTTCCATTTCTGCTTGCTTTTCAAATGCTATTCATCAGTGCAGAGCAGTGACATCTCCAGTTTATATCATAAACCTTTCCCCTTTACCTCCCACATTCTTCATCTCTGCTGCTTCTCTGAAAAAGAAGCTATGAAACTCCTTATGGTGTCTGGTACAATACCTGCCACTAAGTAGGCAGCCCCAAATACTTAGAGCACAAATTTGTGCATGAACTTTGACTTAAGGAAATATGTTTTATAGCCAATTCAATGGAACCCTCAGAGCATCAGCATATTTTTCCAGATTTTCCTTGGCTGTTAAAGGGATGCATTTAATTTGACCACTCCTGGTAACCATCTCTGGGCAACCAGGATACCGCTGCAGACAGCTCTGTTCTGTTGCAGTCAGGTGGATTTAGACAGTCTGTGGCTGTCCGTGTTTTCCCAGGCCTATCTTTATTGATGGTTATTAAAGACACACCACCACATGGCAATGTGAAAGTACAAAGCAATTCCCAGGGTAAGGTACGTGGGAAGACATGAGATATGGGGCTCTCAAACAATTTTACCATAATCGCAGTCTGCCATATCTGTGTATGGTTAATAAGTAAGAGTTAGGCAGGCAGGTTCCACCACTGGGCAGCAGATGGAAGAGGAAAAACGGCCAGTGGGGACATTCGTGGTCCTTTTGGAAAACTGGGAAAGAAAACGAGAAGGAAGACACTTGGGAAAGGGGTCACCCAGGTGCTGCAGAGGCCCACAAGTGGTCCTGAGGGAGGACTGTGGCTCACCTCTTCTCCCGCCCTCAGCCTCTCTTTTCACGCCAGCCTCTTGTGGAAGATTCTGTGAAGCAAGAAGTGCATAGTAATCATGCCTGGACACTTTGTGTTAAATAAGTGTAAACACAGCACACAAAGCCACCTGTTTATTTTTTTATTTTTTTTATTTTGTTATCATTAATCTACAATTACATGAGGAACATTATGTTTACTAGACTCCCCCCTTCACCAACTCCCCCCCACGTACCCCATTAGTCACTGTCCATCAGTGTAGTAAGATGCTGCAGAATCACTCCTTGTCTGCTCTGTGTTGCACAGCCCTCCCCGTGCCCCCCCCCC